TGGAACCTGGAATAGAACTCAGGACCTTGCTCTTGCCAGGCAGGCACCATGCCACTGAGTATATACCCTTGGCCCCTGTTTGAGGGGTTTTTTTTTTTTTTTTTTTTTTTTTTTTTTTTTTTTTTTTTTTGAGACAGGGTGTTATGGTTTGTGTCTAAACCATAAGCCAAAGCCTCCAAAGCCTCATGCAGTCACTGGGGCCAGCTTCTAGAGTATGATTAATCCATGATCCAATACAAGGAGGATTATAAGGTGTGAGTGCTACCCCTGCCCTGGAGTGGGTAATCTGCATACAATATAAAGGCGGGAGGGAGGCTTGCTAGCCTCCACACCTGTTGCTCCTCTTTACTCTGCTATTTTCCACAAGCATGAACAGCTGCCCTCTGCCATGTGCCACTCTGCCTTGGAGCCAGCTGAGTATGGACTGAAACCTCCATTAACTGTGAGCTAAGTAAACCTTTCCTTCCTTAATCTGGGGTGTTGGGTATTTTGTCCTAGCAATGAGAGAAAAGTAACCTAGACAGAGGGTCTCACTATGCAGTTGAGGCTGGCTGGGAACTCACTATGCAGCCCAGTCTGGCCTCAAATATGCTTAGATCCTCCTGCTTCAGTCTTCCAAGGGCTGGGATTACATGAGCTACAACCCTGGGCAGGGCTCATAGTTTTTATTTTCCTGCTTTTAGTGTTTTAATTGGAGCCCTATAAAATCATCAGGGGGGAAAAAACTAGTAGCTTAGGAAAGGGAAGTTGGTGAATTTGGTAGTGCTGCAGCCTAAGCCATCTACTGCTCTATAACCCTTGATAAAGTGTTCACTCTCCAGGCTGAACAATTGCTGGGTCTTTGGCCTGTCAGGGCCCTCTGGGTTCAGCAGCAATGTTTCTTTTTTGTGTCTCAGAGAAATGTACCAATCTGTAAGGCTACGGTCTCCTCTTGGATGTTGGATGTCACCTTCGGGCACAGGTTTTCTCTGTCTAGCTCCACTTCCTGTATGCTCCAGACATTCTCAGCCAATCTCTATGCCTCTGTTGGAATAAGAGTCAGTCTTTCCCCTCCGCCTTTTCCTGGTTCACATCCTGTTTAGAGTAAAAGTGGAAAAACATTTGTCAAGTTAGCTTCCTGTCACCGTTAAGTGCCTCTGCCATGGTGCGTACACAGTATCTACAGTCACTGCTGTATGCCCAGGTACGTTCACACAGCCCCAACCACCCCTCCAAGTCACACAGACTCTGGGTCCTTTCTACACTCACTTCTCAAACCATATATTCAAACCTACGAGGGCCAGCCAAATAGCTCAACGGATTAAAGCGCCTGCAAGCAGGTGCAGGGGCAAGGGGTTTGATCTCTGGGCCTGCCTTGCCGGCACCGCCCCTGGGGCACACAGAAATGGCAATTGAGACATGGCGCATGCCTATAATTCCAGCTCTTAGGAGGCTGTAAACAGGGGATCACTACGAGTCTGATCTAGTAGTGAGACCTTGAACACCCTGCAGACCCTTCCCTAAAATAAAAAAATTTTAAAAACTTACCAAATGCACTTCAAGCCAAATTCAAGGAGGTCTAGTCACTGCATTTCTGACTCAATCTCTCCAAATATCCTGAGTAATTCCAGCTTCTAAAAATTCTCCCCTATTTGGTTTCTTCCACTCTTCAGGTGACCATTAATCATGATTATGTCAGTTTGGCTGGATTAAGACCCTCCCCGGGGAAGGGGTGGTGAGATAGTTCGGCAGACTAAGTGCCTGCTTAGGCAGGTGCAGGGTTAGGTCCCTGGCACCACAAGCCATACCAGGTCTCCCTCTCTTTTTTTTTTAATGTATTTCGTACAGGGCCTCATTACACAGGTTGGACTCATAGCAATCCTCCTATTTTCAGCTCCCCAGTGCTGGTACTGCAATCGTGCACCACCAC